TACGCCACTGGTAGATACATAAACAAATAGACAGGTGGATAGGTAATCATTCATTCTCAGCGATTACATAAATAAATACTCCGAGACAATTCCATTTCTCACATGGGCAGTAGGCCGTTTTCATTGACAAGGATCCATTCTTCTTCGTGACAGTCAGAGCATTTGTTCGTAGCGTCGGGGTCTTGCTTCATGAATTCTACATCAAGAAGGATGCGGTGGACCAGCCACGGCTTGTTCCAACGAGTTTCATAGTCCTACGAAGTTTTGGGTAGTCAATGAAAAAAGCAAATAACTTCGAGACGACCTGGCAATTGATAGCCACGGTTGCTTAGTTTTTCGAACTTTACATCAGAACCGCTGTAATTTCTCGGGGGATAGACTGCTATTTTGCAAACCATCATCACTGTCTTCAACAAATTTATGCTCGCGAGAATTGAGAGCCGATATGCAAAGAACATACAATTGAAGTTTCTTTCACTTTAGTTTTTTTGCTTAGTAGCCGCTCGATCCTGCAACACTTGAAGATGTTAATCAATACTTCGAAATTTTGCATTATCTTGGAATCTATTTTACATTTTTTCTCCCGTCCTCGCTTTTTTTCCAAACAAAAACTTCATCTAAGTAGTTATTAATGCTGCAAAAATCCAACTATCGCTTTCTTCGCCATGATCATTTCATTCATTCTTTATTAAAACATGAAATCATGATTTGCAGGATGAACCGGATGAGCTCTCCATATGCCACAATAATTGACAAACTCGACTTTGACATGGCCATATACGCCGCTAAGCTCGATCGTGCTCTCAAAGCTAGCGACAAAGATGCCATCGTCAAAATATTGACGTCAATTAGCAATAACCAGCGTCAAATGGTCAGTTACGCATGGAGAAAAGCATTTCCTGTGTGCACAAATTATTTAATTCAAGGTTGTTGGGAAGAGTATGAACTTAGTATAAAACTCCTTTAGCGTGAGGTTATAGAATCTTTGATGTAAAATCCATACATCCTGCGAAAAGTCTTTGTGAAGGAAAAACATTGTAGAAAAAGTACCTTGAATTTTGTTACTAACACGTGACTTCCGTTATCTTGTATCTATAATGTCTGTATTTATGACTAGCTGGCAAATCCGGTTCCGCTCGGTCATGTCAATAATGTATTCGTTATCAGCATGCTCGCTTCTCGTGACCACTCTCAGCCCCATGAATGAAATTTTGCAAAAATTCGCAGATAAAATCGATTCCGATCGATAACGAAAAGTAACCTATGACACTCCGCCCCGAAGTGTATGTGTGCCAAGATCTATTCGGAACATACGTACATACATACAGATAAGCAGACATTCAGCTTTATATTAGTCCGGTGCAAAAGTTATTTCCGTTTTTTGGACCAA